GGAAGTTCTTGATTAATAGCAACAAATAAGTGAGTGAAAAAAACCTCTCCTCTCCATGATCTGTGGATCATGTGTTCTGCATGAGGGCCGTCAGCTGGGGAGACCCTTAGACAATCACGAGGGGGCACCAAGGGATGGGGAACTTGCAGCCTTCTGACTGAATCCAAATTTTACAGAACTAATCCTTTTAATAAATCCATCTTCTGACACCTGATTTAACTGGATGTGGAAATTTTCTACCAGATTTCTATTTGGGCAGACATGAATGGAAAATAACCCAGAATCAGGTTTTTAAAACTGAAAGGAACCTCGTCTGGTCCAACTCTATAACTTTATAGATAAAGAAACTATAAAGGCTTGGGGAGAGGATATGACTAAACTCAGATTGCACAGATTGTATTTGGCAGATGCAGAAATCAAGCCACCTGCTTCCCAATGCAGGACACCTCGTCTCCTCAGAGCTGCCAGGAGCAGGGTGCATATCTGACAGTAGCCCTTGAAGTAATGGCCACTGGCACTCACCACGCCCACCTTGGGTACACTGCCTTTCCAGTTCTTATTGCTTCCTCCTAGCTTGCCTCTGCCTCGCCTCGGACAGCTAGAGACAGCTCTCAGGAGCTCTGGGCTTCCTTGCGCAAATGAATAGCTCCCTTGAATGGCAAGTCTGCTTTTATTCTGTCTTTCTCTTCTATTCAGGATTGTGATGAAGATCGAGATACTAGCCACTTTCTTTGAAGAAAACTTAGAGTAAGGTCCTGATAGAGCATTTATATCATAATTAAGTCCTACTAATGTTAAGCCAAGAGTTGGAGTCCAGCATTTTATAAAGACTGACAATGCTTTTGAATCTTTCTACATTTAAACTTTTTAAATAGCATACACACTTGTATGCAATTCAAGTAGCAAACAATAACACCTGACACTGGAGCCTAGCAGTGACTGTGGTAGTGGAGGCTAGAGTAGGTTCATTATCCCCAATTTACAGAGGAGGAAACTGGCTCAGAGAAGCTACCTGTCTTGCCCAAGGCCACGCAGGTAATAAAATCCAATGCGAGAGCAATGATCTTGTCTAGGACCCTCTCCTCCTAAGCAAATTAGCTTTTGAATGCTATACTCAAATTTTGCACAAGAACACTGAAGAACTACATTTGTTGTTATATTTGAGATATTTAGCAAGGAACACAGCTCGACTCTGCAACTTTAGCAACAGCACTCCTCTCTGCTGGAAACTAAATGACACAGGGAAATTATGGGGGGTGGGTCGGCTTTGGAGCTCACAAAGAGGATTAACCTTTATGATGCTTTTAATTATTCATAATTTATGTTCCATATTTTTTTTTCTTTTTTTTTTTTTCTTTTCCAGATGAATTGGTGTAGAATATGTTCCATATTTTTTAAAAAACACCCTGAGATAGTTCTTAGGTCTGACAATAATTCAATCAAAAGTAAGGGCTGAGGTAGAATGCTTTGTATTGAGTAATGAACAGAGAAAATGTTCCAGCCGGCCAGGCGTGGTGGCTCACACCTGTAATCCTAGCACTCTGGGAGGCCGAGGCGGGCGGATTGCTCAAGGTCAGGAGTTGGAAACCAGCCTGAGCAAGAGCGAGACCCTGTCTCTACTATAAATAGAAAGAAATTAATTGGCCAACTAATATATATAGAAAAAATTAGCCGGGCATGGTGGTGCATGCATGTAGTCCCAGCTACTCGGGAGGCTGAGGCAACAGGATTGCTTGAGCCCAGGAGTTTGAGGTTGCTGAGAGCAAGGCTGACACCATGGCACTCACTCTAGCCTGGGCAACAAAGTGAGACTCTGTCTCAAAAAAAAAAAGTAAGGGCTGGAAGGCAGTGGCTCATGCCTATAATCCTAGCACTTTAGGAGGCCAAGGCAGGAAGATCACCTGAGGCCAAGAGTTCAAGACCAGCCTGGGCAATAGTGAGACCCTTATCTCTACAAAAAAAAAAAAAAAAATGTTTTAATTAGCCTGGCATGGTGATGCACGCCTGTGCTCCCAGCTACTTGGGAGGCTGAGGCAGGAGGATCACTTGTGCCAGAAGTCTGAGATTACAGTGAGCTATGATGGCACCACTGCACTCTATCCTGGGGCACCAGAGCAAGACTCCATCTCAATAAATAAATAAGTAAATAATTTTTAAAAATTGTTTAGCTATGAGATGTTTATTTAAAAAAAGAACTATTCATTTTGGTGTGTGTGTGTGTGTATTTTTAATTTAGTCATCTAGATGCAGAGAAGAAGATCTGGAAGGCTATATCCCAAGTTTTACATTAGGTACTTCTGAGTATAGATGTATTGATTTTATTTATTATTATTAATGCTAATCTGTATTTTATCTTTTTTCTGCAATGAATATATATGGTTTTGGTAATAAGAAAATTATAAAGCGTAGTTTTAATTGTAAAACATATTCCTCATTTTGAAAAATGGGAAAAGGGGTTGTCTCCCCAACCAGTTAAAAAGCTCTATTACTGTGAACCAGAAAATGGAAAATGTAAACAGTATTCTAAGATCCCCCAGAACTTTGGCCCTGCTCCTCCCTCTGGGTACTCCCAGCCCCCAAGAATATATAACAATCTGCCAGGACATCAATTTTACTCAAATATTTTGAGGAAAAAACTTTTTTTATAGATTTAAACCAGAGTCCATATATCATGAAATCAAATGAAAAAAATGCATAAGTCTTTAAAACAATTTTCAAGCTTGCTGGGACCAATTTAAATTATACTGAACCCCAAAAGCACTTATTGGTCTTCTTTCCCATTGACAGGTCTTCCATGGAGAAGTTTGGGAAGCCCTATAGCAAGCAGTATCATTTGATTCTACCCCTTTTAAGAGAGTGACAATCACATTAAACCAAATCACTTTTCCTGTTGGAAAAAAAAAAAGTGCTACATTTTCCTTCATTTACTATATCTTTAAATTTTCTTTTTTAAACAGGTGGTAGCAAACATATTGCCAGGGAACTCTAGAAGCCTACAAGGGCACAGTTCACCGTACCTCCCATGCCCAGGGGAGAACCACCTGGCCTGACATCCTGGGTTTTGAGGATGGTGAAGCCCGTACTGCCCATGGGCAGCCTCACACTTCCACAGGGCAGCAGACCACTGTGCACAAGGTGCTAATTCATTCATTCCACAAATGTTTATTGAGTGAAGTCTGAACACAGCCTCTTAGGAGACAGTGGGATCATTCACAAGCCAACGGTCAAGTCTAACGGATCAGATGTGGACAATCGATCTTTCATTAGACCCACACCACCTCTAGGATACAGCAAACAGGGCCACAGCCCCACCCACGCACGAGCAGCTGGGCAGGATCAGGCAGGCCTTCCAGAACAGGACTGCTGCTGAAAGAAGCTAAGGCAGTCACGGATTCCCTCCAGAACAACCAAAACTCCTGCACCATAAGTGACATAATAGCTCCAAGATGCTTTGTATAGTGTCTGGCACCAAATGAGAGTGTGATAATGTTAGTCGTTTTTGCTCTTCTTATTCCAGCTTGCTCTTACTCAAGGTGCACAAAGCAAGTGAAAAGAACACAGGTTTTAGAACTGGACTAAATTTGGATCTCAGCTATGCTACTTATTATTTACATGATCAAGGGAAATAATCTTTCTGAGCCTCAGTTCCTCATCTGTGAAATGGGGCATAGTATACCACCCCTCAAGTGGCTTGTGAGAATTACGGACCTATTATATGCAAAGATGACTGGCCCATAGTACCTGCCCAATAAGACAGTCAACTTTGCCCTGCCACCTTCCCCATACCTTCTCTTCTCCTTTGTGGCTGCTCATCAAGGGCCCCGGAATCTGATTTCACCTGGATACCACACTAGGGGTGAGGCGAGACGGAAGAACTGCAGGGAAGTGTAGTGGGGAAGGTGAGAGGAGGGAGCTGAAGGAGATCTTCCAGAGAAACCCATGGAAGTCCTCGGCTCCTTTCAACTACCCTACTCTGGCTGCCCCATCCAGCTGACAGCAGGGGCCACCATCCTAGCTGGGAATGGCTACCACGAAGGGGACAGGAACCTGGATAACAGTTTACATCCATCCCATCTTCTGGTGTCTGTCAGAAGCCCTACTGGGCTTCCTCTGCACACCCCTGCCAGGCTGTGCGGGTCAGCAGACTGACAGTGTGATTCACAGTGTGTTCTTATCTCGGCTTCCATCTCAACCCAGAGCCCAGAAAGCTTCTGCTCACAAACCAGCACTAAATGAAAATAAGGACTTTTCATTAAGGCAGGAAGTGGAGCCCCTCAAAGTCAAAGGGAGGAGAAAGGAAAGGGAAGAGGAAGAGGCAGGAAGGGTGCAGAGAGAGAGAGAGAGAGAGAGACCCACTTCCTACATGTTGGTGGAGCCCTCATGTCTTAGAGACGCTGAAGCAGTCGGTTTTCCACTTTGAAAAGTAAATCCCACCACTGTGATTTATAGCTCGCCGCGGGATGAGGTCTGGGTGTAGGAGGAGAATTCCAAAACGTTCGGCTTATTTTCAAAGGAGAAATCAACAGCCCTTACCGGCTCTTCCCAGCAGCCCACCTGTAAGTAAGTCCCAACGCCTTACCTTTCTGCACCTGGGCAGTCAGGACTCTGCGCCGGTCCGGCCAGCAGCCAGCCCCAAGCCCCCCACTTTCAGTCCTCGAAAACCTCCGAAAGCGCGACAGCGCAGCAGATGCCTACCTGGACATCCCAGCTTCCTGGAGACTCGGCCGCCTGGGCAGCGCAAGTGGCTCTTGAGCAGGTGGGAAACTGAGGAAGGGAGCTTGCCAGGTGCCACAACGCAGTTCACGTTTTAGAACTCAGAATACATTTAAATAACGTCACTCTACACCAACTCCCTCTTTTAACACAGGAGGAAACTGAGAGCCAGAGAGAGACATGAAGTTGCCCGAAGTAACACTGCGAGTGGCCAGAAAAGTCGAGACTAGAACCCAGGTGCGCTCCTTCGAGTCGCTGCCGGGCAGGGGGCGCATCTCGCCACCTACCTGGTCTCGTCGCCCCCCGGCCCTCGGCCTGGTGTTCCAAACCCGGCAGCCCCGGGCGCGGCGCGTTCCCTTCTTCCGGGCTGGGCGCTGCGAGCCTCCCCCCTCCAGACCCGGCGCCGGCGACTCTGCCCCGCTCGCAGGCTCGCCGGGCGGCCCAGGTGTCGCCGGCCGCTGTCAGCGCAGCGGCCCGTGTGCCGGCTCCCCCCGAGGGCGGGCGGGCGGGCGCGCAGGGCGGTTCCTGGGCGCGCGGGCCAATGGTGCCGCGCCCGCCCGCCCGCCTTCCCTTCTTTCGCCCTCCGCCCCTCCTGCTGCTGCTCTCCCCATCCTCGGCTCTTTCTCTAGTGTACCTTGCCCTGAAACAACTCGTTTTCTGTGCAAATAAAGCAGCACCGGTACTTTGTGCTCACTGCGCGCTGGAGGACCTCGGGGCTGGAGAGCGGACGTCACGAGCAGCCCCCACACCCAGAGCGGGACCGCGCCGCGCGGGGAACCGGGAGCGGGCGGCTCGACGCCAGGGATGGGGGCAAGTTGCTTTAATCCTCGGGACATCGCTTTCCTTGTGTGTGAAATAGAAAAAAAAAAAAAAAATGCAATGCCTCACAGGTTGTTGAGAGGATTAAATGAAGTGATGCTTTAAAAAGTATCTAATAAGATAATACCTGGTAAAATGGTGAGCGCGGCGCGTACTACCCGAGCCACTCAGTGGGTGTGCAAAGGGGACAGGTACGCTCCTGGCTGGTGGGGATGCAGGCACATCTATAAATACAACATTGTATCACAGCCAATTTTTAAAAGTTACCAATGACGGGGCCAGCCCAGGCAAACTTCTAAGAGGTGAACCTTAAGGACTTCTTCCTCATCATCTCCTGGATTATTGTTGTCCTTCTGATTGAGGCTGGTCCAGGTCTGCCTTTGGTTCTTCCAAAGGTCTTCCGTCTCCCAGATTTACAAATGCTTATCCCCAAGGGCCTCATTCAATGCCAGCTGCAGAGCTGCTAACCTGGCCTAAAAGTCCTTGCACTGTGTTAAGGTGTGGATTCTGCTTTGCACTCAACCTTTGAGAGTCTGGTGTGTCCCTGTGCTGGGTGAGCACTCGGGATGCAAAAGAGAAATAAGCCACTCACTTTGCTTTTGAAGAGACAAATATGTAAGTAATTTCAATTTAGGGTAAGTGCTCTAATCAGGTGTACAAAGTGCTGTCGAGTCACACACACTGGGGGAGGTGGACAATAAAAGCTTCAATATGAATGTGACCAAGGTCTTAAGGAAGGGCTACAAGTCAGGTCAGAGGAGTGAGAGAACACTGAGTGAAGACATGAAGATGCCTGTCATATGTCATGGCTGTCACATAGGGTGTGTGACACCCTATGTTTATTAAACACATCCTGTTTATTTCACAAAAACAGCCATTCTACCGCTAGGTAATTATCCTCAGTTCTCCAAGCCCTTCAGTCACTGGACCATCCATATCCCCATATAGAAACCTGAACGAAATGTGAAGGTTGTCTTTTTCCCTCTATGTTTCTAAAAATAGTTTCCGCTTGACAATGCATGACAATATATGCCATCAACCCCACACTTAAGGCAGAGATGAAGCTAAGGAGGTAGGTAGACAGATGCTAGAGGAGGAGCTGTACCTGCCTTGCTAAGGAAATGAGGTTGTATCCTGTTGGTGACGGCCACTAGTGAATGATTTGAAGCAGGGGAGTGGCATGACCTCAGATGTTTTGGGTAGCTCATTTTCATTGTTGATTGCTCCTGACTTGATTATCCTCTTCCTGCCCTTCTCTAGCCCCGGAGGGCAGGCACTGAGTCTTGCTCACATCTGGGTGCCTTGCATCACCTGGCACAGACCTCTGAAAGAACTGAACACTCACTATTCTGAGAGTCACTCCTCCCCTGGTAACAAACACAATGCCTAAGTGCTAGGGAGGGTCTCAGGATTCTCACTTCGGGCTTTGGAGTGGGCAGGTGGGGGAGAAATTTTGAGGCAGGGTCTTGGGATACTCAACTCATCCAAATGTTGCATGGTTCTCTTCCTTTTGATCTTGCAGGGAGAAAAAAAACAAACAAACGTTGCATGGCTCAGAACTTAAAAGCTAGAGCTGTGACATCGAATGGCCAATGTTCAAATACTGGCCTTATCAGTTTTTAATAGAACCTTAGGCCAATTACTCAACCTCTCAGAGGTGCCTCAGTTTGCTCATTTGTTAAAGAAACAATAATTACACTCCTCTCTGGGGCCTACTGTGAAGGTTAAAATAAGAAAACGTGCATGTTTATCACAGTGCCCTGCACACTGAAAGTGCCGCATAAGCCTTGGTTAACATGATCATATCAAGGTAGCAGTGGCCTGGCCCATTTAACATATAAGGGATTGCCACCCTTCAAAATGGTTTGCACATAAGCAATACTTATCCGTCACAGAATTCTATGTCGATATTAAAGGGAAAGGCAAGGGACTAGGGATAGTGCAGTCCTGGGTTAAATGTACAGACTTTGGTGCATGTCCTGGCTCTACCACTGACCTAGCTGGGTAACTTTTGACAAGTCACTTAACCTCTGTCAGTGACCGTTCTTCTTCTATAAAATAAAAATAGTAATATTACCTGCCCTATGCAAAGATCAGTAATGCATAACACACATAGCACATTGCCTGGTCCAAAGTAAGAGCTCAATAAATGTTAGCTAATAGTGTGATAATGGTTAGAAGAGAGTTATTATAGTTTTTGTTTTATTTAATATTTTTTAAATCAAAACCATAGATAAGAGCATATTACAGTTATTGGAAAGGGAAGAGTCATGTCACAGTAATGTATTTAGAAGAGGAAAGTATAAACCTATAAAAAAAAACTAAACCTAAATGTAGAGGTTGGTGTTGGATCTGTGAAAATTAACTGGAACAGGAGTTAGAAGTGGGCTTAGATACCTGCAGGAGGAGGAGTTTTTTAGTTGAGCGTGATTTATTTAAATTCAGAACTCCTGTCTGAGCAAGGATGAAATTCTTGCAGTTCTATGGAACTGAAATAAAATGAGGTATTGTTTGCAGGACTATGTAAGACTGCTGTCTGAGCTGCCCTCTTGGAATGGTGGAATGTCATAAGGCTGGTGCTTGTACATGAGAATCTGGAATTTAACCACTAACACCAGCCAGCTGTGACCTTATAGAATCACAGGCCCATTGCTAAGTTGTTTGGTTTTATCAGTTGGTTAGTAGGTAAATATTAATTGGAGGGATGGGCTAGGTGTGGTTCCTTCAGGCTTGAAATGGCCTCCCCTTTATTTCTGACCACAGGAATCCTCATGCATCAAGGCCTGGGACAAATGTCACCCAATTCTGCCCTCCTAGATTAAATAAATTAAGCCTTACAACCTCTCCAACTCCCATGGCGTATTCCTCGAATGTTTTCTTGGCATTGATTTCCCTCTGTCTTTATAGTTACTTGTCCCAGGATCTGCCACTCCCTACTAGTTTTAAAGCTCACCCACTTTCTCTTGTATTCTTACCACCTCCATCCTTCTTCCCATCCCATCTCTACTCCAAATGATTTCTACACCAGGGCACTCAATAAATGCTTCTTAAATTGCATTGGCAGGCAGGTCTCTCATAGTAGGCATGTTAAAGAGAGCAGCACTTTTGCCACAGTGGAAAAGTAAAAGAACCTTCCTTTTAAAGACATGACTTTGTCTTTAAGCTATGTGGATTTATAACTTCTTACCCACCAAAAATTGTAGATATTGCTAAAATGCTGTATAATTACATCTTGTGTGGCAATGTGGTTAGATGGCTTATAACAGTAGATATCAAATGTACAGCATTTAGAACACAGTTTAGTCATGGTAGTAGGTCACCAAAGCAAGAATTCGGTTTTTTAAATAATTTGTAAATACTAAATATGTTTTTAACTTTTGAAAGTAACTTTTGATTCAATTTTGGCCTTGAATCAAATTGCTAGCAATCTCTCCACACTCTTTAATAATGCCTTGCATCTCTACATCGCTTTGTATTTTTCAAAGGCCTTTCACTATGATTATCTTGTTTGATCTTCACTCAACCCTATGGTCTAGGAAGGGCAGCTATTACTATTAGTATCTGCATTTTACAGATGAAGATAGCACAGAGTTGAGAGGATCAGGCCCTTATCTCCAGGCCAAATGGCAAACAAATGACAAAGTCAAGGTTGGAACCCGGGGATCTACTATACCAGAGATATTTCTGATATGCACTGAGGATAATGGCATCATTATTTATAACCTTTATCAGCAATGATCTAATGTAGACATATGTCTTAATTTATATTCATGTCTATGTACTTTTATACAGAGTTCCTTTAAAAAGTAAAGAAAAACCTTTGTAGTCATCACCTCTCTCAGATATATATGTATAATCATAATTATTGATTACTTCAGTGACTTTCATTTGTGCCTGTCAACATTAAACTTTTTTAGAAACTTCTCTCGACTTGCTGTTGGTAGAGTAAAAAAAAAAAAGAAAAAAAAAAAAATAAAATAAAATAAAAAAGAAACTTCTAGGTTTACTCTATCAGTGTCATAGAATAGATGTTCTTATTTTAATGTTCAGTGAAAAATCAAATATTACTTCAAAAAATACCTCCACTTATATGAGATACCTAGAACAGACAAATATAAAGAGACAGAAAGCAGAATAGTGGTTACTAGGGGCTGGGGGAGTGAGCAATAGGCAGTTATTGTTTAACGGATGTAGAGTTTCAATGTTGGGACCATGAATGGCGGTGATAGTTGCAGAATAATGTGAATGTACTTAATGCCACAGGACTGTACGTTTAGAAATGGTTACAGTGGTAACCTTTATGTTATCTATATTTTACCACAATTTAAAAAAATAGAAGACCATCTTGTTTTACTAATATTAGAGTCTCTCTGGTAGAAGAAGGCTAGTTATAATGTCAGAACTCATGATATTTTTTGTTTTATTTATTTATTTTTTGAAATTCATCTTACCTAAGAGCCCTCCCCACTTACTGCAGAAGAGAAAGCAGTGACCTTTAGGGAATCCTACTAACCTGTTTTAAAAATCCAAAATGGGATTGAAATTTGTGTGATAAAGTGGGATCCTGGTAGATTATTACAGCTACTACTAATTGAGTGCTTCCCACCTGCCAGGTACTTGACTAAATTCTTTTATACCCATTATTTCATGTAATCATCTGAG